GGTCTCTTCAAGGAAGCGGGAGTCACCACACTTGACCCCACCACACGCGATCTACGACTAGCCGAGGTGTACGGGTGGACAGAGGTGGAAGCATTTAAGAAACTTGATCATTGTTTCAACGGCCGCGCCCGGAGATCGAATGACAAGTCCAGTGTGCTGACCGCTACTCCGTGGCAGCGTGCCTGCTCTGTAAAGCGGAGCCGGAACGGGAGCCCAGGTATGCTGCAAATACGGCTAATATTAAGACGTTATTAGTCGTACGATGGACTCCATTTGACTAACTTTATTTTATATACTTCTGAACAAATGTGCTACACTTGGATGTAATGTGTCCATGATGCAATTCTACCTGTCAAGTTGGCAACGAAGAGTGGTGTAATGGAGGTAGTAGACTTAAGGTCAGTGCATATTCATTTCCATTGCAAGTATATCATGCTTTTACACTTCCTGCCAAAATGTCATTTGGAGCCTCAGGAAAACGCAAGTGAGTTGAATAAAAAATTAACCCGTAAAAACAAAGTTTTTCACTATAAATCCTTTATTTGCGTGGCGGCTAGAGTCCTCTCGTCCTCTGGCTTGAGATGGCTGCCACCTATGGGTCAGATGATTGCCTGCCAACATTAAGCAATTGGTAATTTAATATCATTTTTTTCCCCTAAAAAGTGTAAAATTTTGGAAAAAAAATTTCACGAAAATTAATTGTCACGCACAACGAGTCTGCGTGCAAAATGTCAGCTCGATTGGATCACGGGAAGTGGGTTAAAAAACGACCGAAAGATTTGCACGGTCGGAAGCGCGCAAGCAAGCAAGCGCGCAAGCAAGTGAACTTAATATAAAGGATTTAAAAATGACTGCATCGTTTCCAATAAACTACTCCAAGAGTCGTTTTGTTTTTTTACAGGAATCTCACCGTTTCAAATGCAATCTAGCACTGGAAGGAATGACAGCATCGGTAAGCATTCAGTTAAGGATGCAGCGAACTGTGTGTGATGCTGTCAGAGGGGGGAGCGGGCGTGTACCTGGAGACCCGAGTTCAATTCCCGCTCACGGCCAACACCGGTGACGATTATCTGAACCGGTCCTGGGCCTCCCTAGATCGACTCAGCCTCAAATCAGTACCTGGTGTGATGTGTAAACATCGCCACTTGGGAGATAAAGCAGGCCGGGCGTCTGTTTATGCTATACGGGGGGTCTTTGGGAGGTGCACATCATCAGGGGCATACCAACGACTGCCTAGTACAACACGCATACTCTGGTGGAACTCAGCTACCCCAATACAACACGCGTAACTCTGATGGGACACGATATTTAGCAAAGCAGATACAATTTACCGTGGAACTTATATCATAACATTGCCACATTGCAGTGTGCAACGTGATCGTGCTTAGGAATAAAAACCAATCCATACATCAACAGTCACCTTAAAAGAAAACGTATATAATAGGCAGCATTTCGGGCTATGGTCCGTATTCATAGCACACATGCAGACGGGCTATTGCCCATGATACGTATGTTGAACTTCTTTCGCACCGTACGTAGCCCACCGTACCAATCGGAGGTGCGGCAATCCATCACGAAACGCATTTTTGAGGACATCCGCGGTGTCTACATATCCACGAGTTTCCTTCGGCACATCAACTTGATAACCGCAGTACCAAGTTTTGTGTATCCGCAGTTTAGCAGGGCGACCGGCACACGTGTGACTTCCAAGACACACACCGCATCTCCATTCCCTCCGTGTATCGTCGTCGTCCCATGTGCCACCGCTCCCTTCCTACCACCACGTGGAGGCAGCGAGAGAGTGGGCTCATTCCCTACTCTACCATCGAACAACCCCATCACCTTATCCTCATCAACGTTATCGTCATCGCTATGGACTTAAAGGTAAATAACACAATTATATTGTTTTGTTACTTGAACATTTATAAATTTTTGTTATGTTATTGTGTATTTTATGTTCTTTTAGGTTATTGTGCATGTTATGTGTTTAGTGAAGAAACAGGCAACTTAATTGGGTTTTGACGAGTGCGACTGCGCTTGGCTATGTTTGTGTTGTTGTAGTACGGAGTAAGACTGATGGCCTTAATCTAAGTTGTCTTGTGGTTGTAGTTGACTTGCATCCCACTGGGATTTTTGCACACAGCGTTGGTGTACGGCGCTTTTTCTGCAATATTTTGCTGTCTTTTCTTGGATTTTCTGTTTGCACATAGTCACTTAGTCACTTTAAGATGTTTTCTTGTTCATGTTATTGTTTGTTGTTTCTTGCGGTTGCATCCGATTCAAGAGCCGAATGGCTCAGAGGGCTTTACCTAATAAATGAACTTGAACTTGCCCGAACCCCATATTTCCCACAAAGCCTTCTTAGTCTTGCCAACCGCGGTTTTTGCCAACCACGGCAGTTATCAGGAACGCAAACCTGTCACCCCACACGGGTTACTCCGTATTCTTGTACATGGAAATTGAGTAAAACACAGAATTTGTTTTCTATTTGTTTGTGTTTCTCCCAAGTGATGTGACTTTGCAAGATAAACCTAGAGATGTATAAGGTGCACGGGGTGACCAATAAGGTCTGAATTTGCCTGTAATAACGTAGGACACTGATAAGGGGTTGACAGCTATGGGAACCTAACCCCCGCGGTTGGCGAGGGATTATTGTATATATAGATGTTTCAGTCCGTGCTATTGACCCAATGCGTTTAGATTTTGTTCTCAGCTGCTGTACTGTACACGTCCACCACCAAAAGACAAAGATCCCCCATGTGCTGTTAGCGAGCACCTATCAAGGCCGGCACGGCACACGAAGGGTTTGAGTGGCCAGCACAACGCCCGATCGCCGTTGTCTCCCCAGTGGCGATGTTTACACACCGCCCCAGGTACTCATTTAAGGCCGAGTCGACCTAGGGGAGGCCCAGGACCGGTTCAGATAAATCGTCACCGGTGTTGGTGGCCGTAAGCGAGAATTGAACTCGGGTCGCCGGGTTCGTAGCGCAGGGTAGCGCTAACCGCTACACCATCGCTTCCCCCACCATCAACAATGTCCCCAAGAATGTCGGACCTTGTGCCACACTGCCGCCTGCTGGCCAAAGCTTCGTGCGTGCTCGTTCACTTCGAATCGCTCCTTTGGGCACAACTGATAACACGGTGTAACACGATTTTTGTCCCCCTGGGTAGTGTACATTTTTAATTGCTTATGCCTAAAAAGTATAGAAAATGGCTATTATTCCCCAAAACTTTGCTTTTGTGACCAGGACTTTACGTGAAGGAACGACGCAAATGCACACCACGTTTACTCAGTGAAAATAGGTAAATTGCAAAATATAATTGTCCTGGTCACAAAAGCAAAGTTTGTGGGAACAGCCATTTTCTGTACTTTTGAAGCGTAAACAATTTGGAAATAACACTTACTACCCAGGGACAAAAAATAATGTTACAGTGTCATTAATAGAGTAAATTATTAACTTTGCTTTTGTGCCCTGGTTACAAAAACAAAGTTTGTGGGGAATAATAGACATTTTCTGTACTTTTGAGGCATAAACAATTGGGAAATAACACTTACTACCCAGGGACAAATATATTTTTTGTTAGTGTAATTATCCGCAGCTCTGATTAGTGCGGTTGACAACGTACGGTGCGAGAGTTCAACGTAATACAACTGCCAAACAAACTTGTATATTAAAATTATTCTGCAATTCGCTCCGCCTCCCGTATTTACATTTTTACAAAAAAGATTGCACGCAATTGACCATCTTTATTACGTTGCGAGATGCAGCGTAATTAAAAAGTGTCGTGATTTCCCAGAAGCCCGCAGTCGCCATGCTGGATGAGACGGTGGCTTTGGCAGTATCTCATTGAACTGATCTCATCCTCGCGCTTTGTATGGATCTGGTCGAAACCGAAATTTGCCCCACTCCAGGACAGGTCAATTTCAAAAGGACTTTTATTTTTTGGAGAAATCTATATATTTTTGACAAACTATTCAGCCACAAGTAACTTTTAGTTTCTCGGGTTACAAGTGGAATTGTATTTCAAGCAACCGTTGATTATTGGTAACTTTCATTATAGCCATCGATAGTTTCTGACGATGGCCTTTCAGACTAACACTTTCATACGAACATTTCCAGTTTTTCACATTTTAAAATATACAACTATGATGGACTGGAGACCGAAACGAAATAAAATTGATCATTGGCCTTGGTTGGCAAGGGGAAGGGCTGAAAAGTGGCAACCTTTCTATCAGAGGCATTGACAGTAATTATGCAAATAAAATAAAAAATTGCAAACTACCCTCAGTGGGACAAAATGATCTTTGAATAACATTCGGCATTTATCATGCATCGATAAATTGAAATGCTTGAAGGCAGACGATGTCCTGAATTAAGCGCGAGCAGTATTTCTTGATAAAAATTAACACGTACGTGACATGCAAATGCTGTGGAGGAAATTAAACATGCGACAGTAAAAGGTGGAGTTCTAAATTGTCTACGCTTGAATCACGACCTGGAACTAACGAACGCTTTGATTTTGCTTGAATGCCTCAGGCAAGGGGTTCCAGTAACCAAAATAACAAGGTGGCATTTTTTTTAATTCGGCAAAACTCAATATTGAGGGAGCCGCAATGCAAGGTGGATAGAAGACCGTGGCACTTGAGAAGGTCACGAAGCAGTCCTTACAGAGCCGCGAGCTGCAGGTTGCAGACCTCTGGGCCGAAGGATATCGAATGAGTCAAAAGTACAATTAGCCAATGGACTATAGGCACCAAATGTAGCCAAATCATTTGCAACTTTGATTTTGAAAGCACCACTGGTACTCATGTCCGCAGCCCCAAATGTGTCACGGAAAATTTGAACCGTGGATAAACAGGAGCACCTGTATTTATACGCTGCTCATTTGCCACGATTCTCGTGTTAACATTTTCATCTGCGTCGATACCTCCAGGCGAAACATCTGTGCCCATGAGATTTAAGCTGACGTCGCTCACAAAAACAGACTGACGCAAAAAAGAGTGTACAACGTATGAAGATGTTTATTGACGCACACCATCCAAGACACAAACCCATCCCTTGCGTTGGAATCCACGACAGCGCGGTGCAATCGAGTCCATGTTTAATTGCAAGAAGGCAGGCAAGAGCAACGCAGCATCCACGCCGCACCTGCCTACCCGTCCCACAATGTGCACGTCCCCGTTCACTTCTTGGTGGGTGCGGGAGCTGGGGCGGCCGCTGCCACCTTTGCTGCTGCGTGCTTCTGGTTGTTAATCAGCATCTTTTTCCTGCCCTTGATGTTGTGTTTCTTTGCGAAGCGCAGGTTGCGCATGAATTTGGGGTCCACCTGGGCAAAGACGCAAGGCACTGGATTGGTTTAAGATAAACTTAGCGCAAGTCACGGCCGAGCAGGCTACATTTAGCAATCGCTTTGGAGCAATGAGCCGGTGCCGCTGAGACCTCCTGGATTCAGATCCTGGGCCCCCATTCAAATAAAAGACACAGGGCCTCTCGAATGTATGATTAAACAGGGCTCTGGAATGTAGCAAGATGTTAGTCTCTGGCCATCATAAATGACCATATTGTAAGAAATGTAATTTGTATTTGACAAAGATCCAGCTTTTACGATTACTTCATGAGATGGGTACAAAGATGATCCATCTCTCGGGTGTACAAACGAAGGTGCTGTCAGTGGCTACTTAACATTTCCCACTGGAGAACTTCTGGGTCAGGATTGAGTTGCCTGCCCCAAGCTGCTAATGCAGCTTTCACATGTTGAAGTTAGATAATGAATTTATGGTAAATTTTCATAGTACAATATTGGGACATACATGTTCAATACAAATGCCAAAACATAAACAATTTAAATTAGAATGAAAAAATATACAGTCATGCAACATATACAAATGTATGACTTTCGGAATTTTTTTTCAAGGATAAAAGACACGAGTTACGTGATAAAGCAATGCAGATTTCCAGCAAGAAAGATAAAACATTCAAGCAGAGCAACGAAGAAAATAATATCAACACAAGGATGACCCCTGCAGTATTACAGAAACACTGCCCTCCCCACGGGGGCTTTAAGAGAATGGCAAAGCTCATTGCACCAATGAGATCAAATGTGTCGTTCGCATTAACATTCTCATCAGAGAACAGCAGCGACAAGCAAGGAGCCACTCACCCCCTTGAATGACTCGAAACGGTTTGTCTTCGGTTTCTTGATGCCATTACGGTGCCACTTGCGCGCTGCACCACACAGAATGGTAAGAACACGTTCATTCTCATGATTCTTCAACTGCATTCATTTGTCACCGATTGTGGAAGCAATTTAATTTCAGGAATGAGTCGGAAGTCTCAGCCAAAAGGCAGCAGTCTGTACTGACAATGTAAAGGGAATGCTTCAAAAGTGTCATTAAAACATTTTGCCACCAAATTCACGTGGGCTTTTTCAGCACAAATTGAAATACAATTGTTATTTATCTCTTAAAGTTCACTTCATAATATACAGCTTATATGTCATTATAATCTATTGATTAGGACCTGCAAACTTCACATTTAGATGAATGGCGATATTTATTTATATTTAAGTTAACCACTGTTTATTTCCCAAAGACAACAGCCCATTTTAACAGATGACCTTATTTCATGCTGGTGACTGTGGGTTGAAAGTTGGGGGAGGTTCGAAATGGATTTTGCTGCACTGCTCTTATGAGTGCAATTATTATCTACAACACACCATTACACAATTTTACAAATGTCTGCTTTCATGACCAGCATGATTCATAATTAGTTGATACTGGGTAAGATCGTGTAGGAATGTGAATTTTTTACCATAAGCTACCACCACTACCTAACAGAAGCAATAAAATCAAGTTGTCATGTATATTCCAATTGATTCGGTATACCAAATGATGATGAAAATAAATATTTTGACAAATGTGTACGATGTTTTGCAGTATATTACAACGATCAGCATAAGGTGCAAACGAAATCTCAGCTCTCGCGTGAAAGAGCTTCCTGATCTGGGTTCTAAAGGTAGGTGCAATGTCATCAGTACAGCCGTGCAAGTGAACCAGTTTAATAATTATAGTTGCCTGCTGGTTGATTTGGTTGCTATTGGCAGGCAGCATTAGTGTAATTAAGTGAATCTAATTATATGAAGGTAAGCCTATTATATACGTAACACAAACCTTTTCAATCAACCTGCACGAATTCCTCATAATTTAACTCATGGCTATTAACCAATCAATGCTTAAGTAGAATCGCATTAGCATGACAACTCCAGCTTTATTACGAACAGAACACACCATAAAACACTCATGTAGAGCCTATTTTCACTGACATCATGGCACCCCACTTAAGGACCCGGATCGGCCTATTGCTGAGTTCTATGAACATAACGGTGGCCCATACTCTTTGGTTCTTTCGGTAAAGTCACTTAGGTATAAAATAAAATTTCGATCGCAACACAAGCGGTCGTCCTCAGGCGGAAAAAATCGAATCAAATCAAGATATAACGGGGGTATTCAATAAGATGTAATACCATCGTAAAAATGTGTGTAAACTACTCTGGGGCCTAAAAGAAGCGGGGCTGACTCGAGAACATTTTCTTAAGCACTTTCAATACAGCAGCCAGATAAACCATATTGAGTACGTGGCGAAATCAGTACTCCCCCCACCCCCTTCCAATACCCAATGGCTGTATTGATTAGGGCCATATCTCAGCACTGGAGCATCTGAGACAAGGAAGAAGAACACAGCACGTGCACTGTGTTCCATTCCTAAACCTTAGCACAATCTTAAACACCTGAGCCCAGAACGGCGTGGACTTTTCCAATCTGCCATCCGGAGAACATCCCTTCCTCACTCTGCTCTGATAAGAGTCCACTGTGCCTGGTACTGTCGATGCCACTGGTAACTGACGTCCAGAATGTGAGGATGTTGCAATGTGTGATTGTGAGGATGTGGGAATACAAACTATCGTAAATATATAAAAGGACCGGATCAGAAAAAGCGATATTAACGATGAACCAATCAATCGGCACCATCAGCCGATATACCTTGATATGATTGGCTCTCAAATTAACGATATAACCCAAAATAAGCCAATAATGAATCACCTCTTTATATAACCTGTCTTGGGCTCATTGTGGCCACCCATCCAGGCAATTTCGTGGCACAAGCCCAGAGCATGCCAACTAAACTTCCCACATCTGGGCGCGCATTTTGCGTGATTTGGTCATCGGCAACGTATTAACATGCAGAAAAAGTTGTCTTTGAAGACAACAACACGTCCATTGCTCTTCATGGAGATGTGCGGCGGAGACTTACACTGGTTGTGGTTGGTGTGGTTCTTTGACTTGGCCATGCTGGATTCTTCGAAGCCAAAGGCTCAGAAGTCTAAGCAAACAACATTGCAGGCGATTTCAGTTCAGCGAATTGCTCACGTTAACAACAAATCAGCTTGTGGTGGGTAGTTACCCACCTGTAACCTTTCATGTGTTCAATAAACATGGTGGGAACGCTCACTTTTAACTGTGGATACCCGTTGACTTTTTCACGTTACAGGAAAGGCATCTATGCCAATAAAGGGCCATTGCCCGAAACGTCGCCTGCTGGATATCTCCTCTTGTAATGGCAGCGTTATTGACGATAGTTAAAAGTTTTCATTCGTACCTGTAGGACCTTTTTTAACATAAAAAGACGCGATTCCGTATGGTGTATTAGCAAGCGCCCATACATAGCATGTCCCTGTTTAGGCCAACACAGATGCTCCACGTAGCCCTTAAGTAACATTGGGGCAAAGTTCTGCTCGCGAGGAACAGCAACAACGAAGGCCGACACGACGCACGAGGGAGGTGGGTGGCAATGTTTTACTCCTCCACCGCACCAGGGTAATCGTTTCAAGGCAGAGCCGACCTAGGAGAGGCCCAGGACCGGCTCAGATAATCGCCACCGGTGATGGCCGTGAGCGAGCCTGCCACTACACTACCGCAAAACTCGCTCGCGCCTTCTCGACGGCGCGAGACGGTTGGTAGTGGTGGTTGTGGAGGTCGCGACGATGACGAAGACGGCCAAAGGAGGGGAAATGTTTCGCTGGAAAGGCTTCGATGCCGGCGGATTGCAACGCGCCGAGGCGATGGGAGCTCAACGCGGACGCCACTTACCGTGCTCGCAAGCCGGAAGAGAAAGGAGAAGACGCCGCCGCGGTGCACTGTGGGGCGGTTCGGGGAGGCTACGGCGAGCGACGTGGAGGTGGGTTGGAGAGAATGTTAAATGAAAAAACGCGATTTAATAAACTAGCGACTCGAGTGGATCAATATATAATTATAGATTTTAAGTTTTCGTGACTGCAAGGATTGATACTCTTTGTTTTTTTTCGGTAAAGTCATGTAGGTAAAAAATCTTATAAAATGAATGATTTAGTTGTTTTCATTTATTTTATTTCATTTTTTACCTACGTGACTTTACCGAAAAAAAACAAAGAGTATGAACAATATATACATGTGAAATGTACCTGGCTGTCAAACCCGTGCCGTTTACACCCCGGATTCTTGTACCGTGGGAAATTGAGGTTTCAGGTCCATGCGGCGTACAGACGTTTGAATCGGGGCAACAAAACACGTTTTGTTGTCTAATTGTTTGTATGTCTTCCTTGTGATGGAACTTTGTAGGATAACGTTGAGAATTATAAGGGCCACGGGGTGGCCAGTAAGGTCTCAATTGGTGTGTAATGAGATCGCCACTGATAAGGGGTTGACAGGTATGAATGTATCAAAATAATATTTTCAATTTATAGAAAGTCGTTCATGCAATTGCATCCCACAACGCTGCACATCAATTAGGAAGTCCCTGAACACATATTGTGTAAAAAGAAAACCCCCCACAATACTTAGCAAATCGAAGAAAATTATCATCACAGAGAGAAGATAAGTGAAAGTAAATAAACCCGTTCGGTCTCCATACCCCAGACCATACCTATACTTTTAATATATATGATTGAGAGTGCATAATTTCAGCAGCTAGGTTAATTTGGGGATGTAAATATGTGCGAGTGTGTACGCGTAGATTGAAAACTCATTTCTTTAGAACTGCTTTTGACGTTAAGTTCGCTGTCCTTCCCACGCACCGCTGATAAGCAGTTTTTTTTCTTCTAACGTACGGTGCGAAAGAAATTCTACATCATACACATACAAGAGACCTCATGACAATCAATAGTCACTCAATACAGCTGTCATTCCACTGCTCTGTGTGAGGGCCTCCCCATCCTGTTGTGGTTGATCAGACTTGTGGGGCTATTTCGCCATACTTCCCCACGCCGGTCAGCGAGAGCCAGGTGGCTGGTGGAGGTCGGTGGATGCTCAGCAGAGGGAGGGCAGTGGTCACCCCCCCCCCCCCACGCCTTCACCATCCTGCACTGACCAGCGCGGTGAAGTATGGTCAAAGCAACCACCACTATCCCCTATGGCGTGGGGGGAGAGGGCCTCGTCCATCAGTGGATTGGTATTAGATCAGAATCTTTCGATTGAAAGCTTTCGTGACTGCAGGGATTCATCTTTTTGGTTCTTTCGGTAAAGTCACGTAGAAGGGAAATAATTAAATAATAAGAATTAAACATAATAAAATACAATTCTCACGACGTTTCGGCCACAACGCAAGCAGCATTTCCCATAAATATGCTCAATTCCTCTGTTGATATGCAAATTCCTTTGTCAATGCGCCCTTCCTCCCCTAACCCAGCTTAAATATACGCTGCCAAGCTTTGTGGTGTTCATTCAGACGCTGTCTTTCCGACAGACCTGTTCTTCACCTGAGGACGGCTGCTTGCGTTGTGGCCGAAACGTTGTGAGAATTGTATTTTATTATGTTTTATTTTAATTATTTTATTATTTCCCTTCTACGTGACTTTACCGAAAGAACCAAGAAGATAGATCAGAATCATGGACATTGACGGAGGAAGATGCCTGCTGTAGAACAGAAGCGTCGGGAGTGAATGCGAATGCTGGGAATTACACTGAGAACCAGAGAGAGGAATACGTGGATTAGAGAAGCCACGCAAGTGAAAGAGACATTGTTCGCTGTTCAAGAATAATACATCGGGCTGGATAGGGCATTTACACGCCGCTAGATGTGAGGGTGACCTTTTGTGTTTCCGCGTGTCCTTTTACCGCACCTCCAACTGGCGCGGTTGGCTACGTACGGTGTGAAAGAAGTTCAACACACACACGTACACGGCAGATGATCGAGACGACCAGCAGCGGAATTGGAGCAAATGGATCAATTCATGTGCGGCACTGGACCGTGAGAGACGGTGACGGCGTGAATTTGTGAGTGTGGGCTTTGCTTGTGGTGCTCAAGACTCATCTATTGAATGCAGCGCTCACAGTCGGACAGCAGGTGGCAATATCACATCATTTGAGCATGATCATTTACATTTTGAGTTGGAGCCTTACAATTCCGATCGCATTTTACTCTCATAACGATGTCCCATTGATGAATAACAGACCTAAGAAGCGAGCTTACAATTTGATTTGTATAAGCTTACTGGTAATTTGTAACTCTCATACAACGTTTTCACGAACAAATGCATACAAAAACTCATGAATCTGGCCAATGTACTGCCACGTTACAGAATCATATCTAGAATAGGTCAGAATCAGAAAAGTGACATTTAAATCAGTTACTAATATACTGCATCAACATTATCAGCCCCTCCCAATCCAAAAGTGATAGCATGAAGCAAATGTCAGCATTTAGAATGTTACTTACACGATTTGTGATATCGCATTGGCAGTGCTGCACATTGCTTTTAAGAGGAGACTTTAGCGATAACGTCACCTATTTTTCCATTTAAAGGCAATGTCATTCATGAATGTGTCGAGTACGACAACAACAATTTCTGCTTAGGTACGTATTTGGCCCCCTAATTGATTTATATCACAGTCGTCTTTAAATTACAGCTTCATTATCGAAAGAAAAAAACGCACAAATAGAATTTGACACGGTGGCCTCGCAGTCATTCATTGGCAGATTTACCCATGACTCACGGACCCCGAGCGCTAACCCTGACCTTATCCAAGGCTCACAGCTTTTTTTGTATCGGTGTTTATAAAGCTCGAGCATTTTACATAGGGTGCAACATTTTCCATAATCCAATCAGGGCCAACAATGCCCACACGCAACGCCTACTCTCTCAACCCTCCATCGTTCTGCGCACAACGGGAGGTCATTCATTCTCCTCCGCTGCTCTCACCTCTGAAACAGATTTGACGTTACGTTCCATAGCACGATAAAATATAGGCTATTTGCAACCATTTACATTCAGTCTGGAGACCCATATTATCTTTAATTTTAAGACGACGGTAAAGGTGAAGCCTAGCAATTGTTTGCTCAACAAAATAACGCTGGTGAACGAGGTCTAGAGATGCCCTCTAGATGTCGTATTGCCTACTCTTCCACACTCGCCAGCCGTGGGAGAGTTACCTACACTCTATCCCACTTCACGTGACCTGCAGATTGAATAGCTCTGCTTGTACCCATTTATACTCCTGAGTGGATAAGAGGGAGGGGAGGTGGGGGGTGGATTTAAGAAACGTGCCAATTATTTGAGACCTCAGGATTTTAAGTGCGTGTGGTAATCATTACATCAATGCATCATCCCTTTCAATGTTGTCCATATATAGACAATTGTTATTGAATGCCTGATGTTTATTCCGGAGATGGCAAGCGTAGACTTGACACAAAGACTGTGTAGTATAGTGCATGCTTACATTTATAACAATCCAAAAACCAAGATTGTCAAATGTGGGCCCAAAAAATTATATCTTAGAAGTTAAATCTTGACTTAAAGCTTTCGTGACTGCAGGAATTCATATTATTTGGGTCTTTCCTAGAAGTTGATTGGTTTTCCAGGACATTTAGGGTATGGTCAGCCTAAAGCTGTAAATTGCTTTAAGTGTCGTGCTATTCGCCAACACAAATATGTGTGATCCCCCACAATATGTGAACGAATTCCCTCACGTAGATTGTGATTCTGAAGCCCAGAGAAACCGAGCAGAATTTATAACTTTCACATTTCATTCAATGCTATGTAACAATTTGTACACCTATAGAGCACAATATTTACCAAATACAGTAGATAATCGATTATCCCGCGGCTTCAAAAACACCGGATAATAAAATAATTGTTTAAACTATTTCTGCTTGTTTTGTAACATTCTTGCATAACATTGTGTTTTAGGTGTTGTGTATATGTTTTTGTTTTAGTGTTTTTAATTATTTAACGATGTGAAATTGGAATAAAAAACATACAAATAGACAAGAACAAATATACTTCACTAAAAAGTTGCCGTGTTTACTGTACCGTACTTACCACTTCAATCTCGAAGACTGCATGGGGTGATGTGCGTACGACTACTGCTCTTATTTCAACAATTTGTATTGGACGATTGCACTTATTTTCTGCTTTTATTAGTCATGACAAAATGTATACGCGTTGTCTGAGTTGTTGTATGTAGTGTATAATGCACTCCGTACAATATTTGACACTGAAATGAAGCGTGGTTACTTCTTTTTTATTCTTAGGTTTTTTTCGGTGAAGTCACGTAGGTAAAAATTGAATATTAAAATTAATGAAAGTAAAATAAAAATAAAATAAAAATCACGACGTTTCGGAGGCAACACAAGCTTCCGTCTTCAGGTGGAACCGTCACAGCACGATTGCTGTATCAAGTAAATGAGAAATTCCAAGCTACTTTTTTTGTCACGTACGTGGCGCCGATTGCTGGACTGTGTGCCAAGCCCTTGGAGTGGTTTCGCCGGAATCGGCTCAGGACCACCGGATAATGTTTGAAGCAGCCGGATAATCGATGATCATCCGTATAACGTCGCCTTCGTACATTTTTGGAGATGCAATATTTTCTTGTCTCTAATCAACAGAGTATTTCCACCCTCATTTTACGATAACCTAACATGATAATACCGAACGACATCAAAATATGTAACGCCTGAACGTCGATACAAATGCATAATTGTATGGTCTACACATATGCAGCACAGGTATAATGGAAAAAAAGCACGTTGTGAAATATCATTCATAACACGAGTAACATCTCATTAGCAATTACAATTGAGGACACATCATCATGCAAATGCATGTAAAAAAACAAAAAATATTTCATGGAAATAATATGTAATAAATTCGAGCAGCTG